GTCTGATTGCTGGAAACCCATGTGGCGCTTGCTGAACATCTTCTCTCTGTCCCCTCCTTGCTGGGTCACCCTGGGACTCATGGTGTATAAAACCCAGGCTGTGTCCTCGCAGATGTCCCTGGGTCTCTCAGGCACCCAGGGAAGGAAAGTGCATGGATTAATTAAGCAGCTATTTGCCAGATTCTATGTGCCATTGTTTCATTGAAGGCCGCTGCTGCTGGCTGGGAGCAGGAGTTACGCTCAATTTATAGATGAGCGAACTGAGGCTACGAGGTGAGATAGCATGTTGGGATCACTGAGCTGGTTGAGGGTGACGTCAGGTCTGACCTGCAAGTCTTCCCTCTGGCTCCTGGCTGCCTTTCACGTCTCTAACATTGGTTTTCTCTGAATTCCTTCCATGGGTGGTGGGGAGGGCAGGTGGGAAAGGAAGCAGAATGCGAACCAGTTGGGTAGGTGGGGTTGTGACCCGGAGCTCTGCTGTTGGCACTGAGCAGGTTTTAGCAGAAGACCCATCAGATCGATTTTTCTGTCTGGAGGGGCTCTGTCCATGCTTCTTGGAGACACAGTTGGCAGGTGCAAGGTGGAACGAGAGCGCTGGCAGTCGGACACCTAGGCTCCCGCCCTCTGTGCCCTGTCACGCTGTCCACTCACTGATGGCCGTGGCCCTTTGGGTCCGACATCCTGCGCAGGGACTTTCCAGGAGGCGGTGAGAGGGGCAGGGACTGGCGTCCAGTGCTCGGCCTCCAGCCCAGGGAGAGAACTTGCTGAGCCAAGCAGGCCATTGGGTTGGCCAGGGGTGGGGGCAGGGGAGGTGGCCACCTGGGTTTGGGCTCCAAGTGGCGCCTGTGGGGGCAGGGATGGGGTCACCAGCCAGAGCACCCAAACCGGGGCCCCTCCCCCCCGTCCCTCCCTCCTGGCGAAGGAGATCACAGTTCCTATAAAGCCACATCTTCTGCTGGACCCGCTTCCTTCAATGAGCCTGTGGTCTTGGGCTGTGAATTTGGACCCCACAGAATAAGCTTGTTGAAGAAGAGTGTGGTGAAGAGGAAAGAGTCAGGGGCCTCTCCCTGCTGGCCGGTCTGGCTGCGGCTGACCGCATGGTCTCAGAACAGTCACTCGGACCCTGGGCTTCAGCCTCCTCCTGGTAAACTGATGGCGGCACTGGGGGAGGTGGGTATGTATGTGTGTGTGAGTGTGTGTGAGAGTGTTTGTGCCTGCACACTAGCTTGAATGAGAACTGTATCTAACGGTCTCTGGGTTTGCACCCGGAACTGCCCTGAATCAGTGGTTCCCATTCAGGGGCGATTTTGCCCTTCAGGGGACATTTGGCAATGTCTGCAGGCATTTTTGGTTCTCACAGCTGGGGGTGTGTGCTGCTGGCATCTCATGGGCCTGGGCCTGGGGTGCTGCTCCTACAATGCAAAGGTGGCCTCCACCATGAAGCATGGTCCACCGCGACAGGAGTGAGCAGGGTCAAGGTGGAACGTCTGGGCAGCCTCAGGGAGAGCCGGGACAGACAGCACTGGGCCTGATGGGTGAGCGGGCGCTGGGGACCCCAGGGGAGACAGCCAGCCCCGTGGGACTGGGAGCTCCATGAGGCAAGACTGGGTCTGCTGTTTGTGGCCATGTCCCCGACTTGTCACGCAGTAGGGCCTCATAACAGAACCATGATTGATACTTTCTCGCTCTGCTCAGTGCCGGGCACATGAGAACCTGGTGCAGTAAGCAACCTACGAATGAATCAGTGTTGCAGCAGCGCCTCCTGGCACTCACATGGTCTTGGATGGTCTTGCGGCGTGGGGAGTGGGGGGCAGATGGAAGGGAGGGGAGGGGTGAGGGCTGCTGGGGGCCATCAGGGCCTTTTCTCTGGCCTCATCCAAAGCAAGTCAGCTTTTTTTTGTTGTTGTTTTTTCGGTCTTGTTGCAAATCTCTTTTTCGGTATTGAACTTCCTTATAAGATTTCCTTTAGACACACAGCTTCTGAAACCAAAGTTTGCAAAGGTCTTCGGTTGAGGCAACAGGCAGGCAGGATAAGCACTGACCCTCCACTCCTCGACTGGCCAAAGTCGAGTCGGCAGAATTGGGCTGAGAGCAGCCAGCTGTCTTCCTGTCCATGGCGGGCTGCCCACCAGCAGCTGGGGGTGGGGGCGGGGGGGTCAAGGTGCAGAGACCACCCTGGGCTGCCCCAGTCTGGGCAGCCTTGGTGTCGTGGGACAGTGACCTAGATAGAGGTCTTGTCCTGGCCAGGACATTTGCATTTATTGACTGCAGGCCCCCCTCCCCCTAACTCCCCCCAGGGACAAATAGTACAGAGGCTTCCTCTGCTTGATCCAGTCTCTGCAGACTTTAGAATCCCGGGCGGTTGCTGGATGCTTCTTGGTCTACACCAGGGTGTCTCGCCCTCACACTGTTGACATCTGGAGCCAGATAATTCTGTTGTGGGGGCTATCCTGTGTACTGGGCGATGGTCAGCAGCATCCCTGGCCTCCACCCATTAGACGCCAGTAGCATCTCCCAGTCATGACAATCCAAAATGTCTCAAGACCTTGCCAAATGTCCCTTGCGGGGGCAGAAACACCCCTGGTTTAGATAAACACTGTGATAGTTCTCTGAGCCTCTCCACGGCCCTGAGCACACGAGGGGCTGTGCTCCACGAGGCTCCTCCAGCTCTAGAAAGCAACTCGCCGGTTTTCAGCCCACTGCCTCGTGTGGTCTGGGAAGCTGAGCTGTAGGAAGGGAAAGAAGGTGTGGGGTAAAGAGGTTTCCCCAGGAGCATGTTTAGGAAACCGTGAAGGCTGGAATTAACTCTTTTCTGTTCCGAAGAAGAGTGAGGGAGCCGGCAAAGGCTGCCATTCTAGCCAGGACCACAGCATCTGGAAGCCAAGAAGAACTGACACCCCCTGGGCCAAACCAAAGCATGTGTTTGGGTCCTTAAAAACGTAGACTTGTTTCAAGGCTAATTTCACTCTTGTGGTTTAGGGATCATTTAAGAGTGAACTTAAATACATGCGTTGCTATTAAGCTGCATAAAACCTCTTCCCCTGTTCAGCAAGCGAGTTGCGGTCCAACTTTGCAAGCGAGTTGCGGTCCGACTTTGCACCTGCTGAGATACTGATGCTGCAGGTGGAGAAGGGAACGAGACAGGTGCGCTCCTGGTCCTGGGGAGCCCACAGCGGGCGCTGAAGGAGGCTTGCCTTCAAGGGGATAGTGGGAGACCCCGACTTCAAGCCTGAGTTCTGAAGGAGCCCCTGTGAAATGCAGAGTCCTTTCACTCAGCATGAAGGGCGGCATTGCCAGAGCCCTGGGCTTCTGGAAGGTTCCCTAGGCTGTGTAGGCGAGGTGTCCCAGGGGCCAGGGTCTCAGGACCATGAACACGCTGAATTAGCAAGGCCGACAGACCTAGGCTTTTCATGCCTTCTGCCTCCAAGCTGGCAGCTGCCCAGGAATGCTCACAAGCATAAAACCGACTTTGTTTTCGAAATGTTCTGGAACATAGACTCCAAAGGGCGCATAAAGGCATTCTTGTGGGGCTGGTTATCTACTGGGGAAAATCGTGCTGGGGCCCCACCCAGACCAGAGCATCCCAGGAGATGCGCCCACAGAATGTCACGTGTTTGCGGGGTGGGTGTGGGCTGGCCCCCGCTCTGTTGCCTGCTGACCTGGGAGGTGTTTCACAAAGAGGATTCTTGTGGGTTCCCGGAGCCGGTCTTCAGAGGAGCAGAGGAGCCCTGGGCTGGAATGTCAGAGGCTTGTGTGGCTCTCTCTGGTCGTTATATCTGTGGGGCCGTGGGCAGTTCGGGGCCAGGTTCCTGCTCAGAAAGCTGTAGGGCGAGGGCCTCCGTCAGGCTGGTTTTCACCAGGTTTCCGTGTTCAGAGGGTCTGGGTCTGTGACCTGAGGTCCCTGGACTTCTCCCTCTGTCACTGACTCTGTCTCCCTGACCTCTTCTCCCTCTGCCTGTAGCCCTTCACCCTGATCCTGCACTTCTTTGTGCCTCCCCTGTGCTGGTGGGCACTTCCTTCTTCTAGTGTGACGATCAGTCTGTGAGAATGAATGTTTATACCTCCTGTTTCCAGGTTAAGCTCCCAGAAAGATGCTTAGTACTTGTCACCATCCAGCCTTGCTCCCCAGGGAGTCGATTGTGGCGACATTCTGCCCATCCCAGACTCTGCTTCGGTCTGCCTCTGTGGCCCCTATCTCCTTGCGGTCCTTGTGCACCTGCCCCTGTCAGAGCCAAGGAGGACCTCCTCTCCCCCAACTCCTCCCACCCCTGCTCTTCCATCCTCCCCTCCTCCCACCATCCCCCTGCACTCCCCCGACCCTCTGCTCTCGCGCCCCCACCTCTCTCTGCCTTCCCCCACCCTGCTTTGGCTCATAAAGTGCTTTTTGCCTTGAAGGTTCTTTTTCTTTCAAAATCCTACTGAGCGTTCAGTCCCGTCAGACCCCTTGGCTTGAGGTTTTCCCTGCCCCCACCCTCTCCCCACCAGTGTGTAACAGAGAGTCCTGCACAGAGGTGGACGTGGGGGGTCTGTGTGGCCACCCCTCCAGTGGGGCTAGTTTGAGGAGGACAGAGGATGAAGCTTGGGCCATGCGTGCACATGGTAGCCTCCTGTGACCTTCTGTCCCCTTTTGGCCCTGAATATAGGGCTACCTGACTTTGGGATCAGGCATGCAGCAATCATTCTAAAAGGCAGTGGGAAACATCCTGGCTGTGGTGGGTGGGCCCGGACTGGGTTTGAGGACCTGGTTTTGAGTGTCAGTCCATCCGTTTCATCAGAAAGGTAGTTGCATCTGTGATCCTCAGTGTCCCGTCCCAGGAAACCTGCCCTGGGCCCAGGGGCAAGAGTAGGATGGGGCCGTGGGCAGAGGGGCCTCGTAACCTGCAATGGGTGGTGCAGGACGGAGGAGCTGCCAGGCAGAAGGAAGGCTCCCTCCCTGGCCTCAGCTTTGATTCCTTCGGGAAGCTGGAAGTGCTGATCTCCTGGTCTTTGTCCCTTCACAGGCAGGTGACAGCAGGGACATGTCTCGGGAGCTGCAGGACGTGGACCTCGCCGAGGTGAAGCCTTTGGTGGAGAAAGGGGAGGTGAGTGGAGATGCTCCTGGCTGCCCCCATCACATGCACACTCATACATGGGCATATGTGTGTGCACAACATGAGCATGCATGCACATGTGCACACCCACCCAAGGGGGCACACATGCACCTGTCCACTGCTTTCTTGTGTCCACAGGTCACCTTGTCCAGGAATGCAAAGGGTCAGAGGTACTAGTTCCAGTCCTGGCTTGGCCACTAAGTGAGATGGCATGGTGGGCTGGGCTGGGCCCCTGCCCACCTATCTCTCTGGGCTTCTCGGCCCACATCTCACTGATCTCCTTTGTAAAGTCAGGGCATGGAATCAGAGCTCCTCTGAGCACCCGCTCCACTGACATCCTGTGGTTCTAACACATGCACCATGAAGCCCGGCTGCCCCACGTGTCGACCCCGTAGCTTAGAGGTTCAGGCCACATACCCGGGGACCAGACTGTCTGGGTTCAGGTCCTGGCTGTGAAACTTTACGGCTTGTGTCCGCTGGCAGATCCTTCCGCCTCTTCATGCTCCAGTTCCCCACTTTAAAACAGTGGCGCTAGGACTTGCAGTGTGGGGCCAGGGTGAGGATGGAGCGCGCTAATTCATAGGAGCAGTTAGAACCTTGTCTGGCCTGGAGAAGGAGAGCAATGCACGGGAGCTCTTGTTGCTGCGGTTATTGTCATCTTCTTGGTCAAACCTTTCGTGTCCACGAGGCCTCCCTACTGGAAGCAGGAGCGCCTGCCCTGCAGCTGGGGTTGGCACGGTCCATCCTGGACTGGCCGTTCTGACGATGGATGTGAAAAGCCTTTCCATCTGCACGGTTGACGTTGTGTTTTTAAAGTATGTTCACATCCCGGTTCTCCCTGAGTCGCATCTCTGCCTGGGACGATATATCTTTTATAAAAATAGAAACTCAGGCTCAAAAGTGGAGTTACTCTAAGGTCAACTGACTGCTTTCAAAAATAATAATTAACGTGCACGCACCACGTCCTGCATGCCTGGCTCTGGGCCAGCCACATTTCATGGGTGATCTGGTGCTAACTGACGGGCCAAGATGGTGATTGGTTAGATGCTAGGTTCTGGGATTGTTCCTATTTCACAGAAGAAGAAGCTGAGTCTCAGGGAGGCTAATTTGTCCTCAGTCACATAGTTAACAAGTGTGGGGCGTGGAGCCAAACCCAGGCCAGCTGCCTTTGGCAAATGGACTGTTCATTGAATTCCTGCATGACTCTGCACGTGGCTGCTCTGTTTTAGGTCCCTTATTTCATGGACTTTTCATTACGAATGTGTGAGACAACTCTCTCTCTTCCCACGTTACAGATACAGAAACTGGTCTCCAACAGGAAGGGAATTCTGCCAGAGTTCTTTTGGAGAGGTGGCACAAGTAGGATTAGAATCCAGGCCCAGGGTGGGGGGCAGGGGTGGCGTGCAGAATGGGTGTTTATCATTCTACACTAGGGGTCTGCAAATGTTTTCTGTAAAGGGCCAAATAGTAAATATCTTAGGCTTTGTGAGCCATACAGTCTGTTGCAACTACTCAGCTTTACAGTTAGAGCATGAAAGCAGCCATAGACAATATGTAAGTGAATGGGCTCATTGTGTGCCAATAAAACTTTATTTACAAAAACAAGTGGAGGGCCGTAAGTTTGCCAACCCGTACTATTCACTATGCATGCTCCAAATCCATTTCCTCTTCTGTCTGAGTTTATGGCACAGTCTTAACAAACACACAAACAGAAAACCCCTAGGTTTTATAGACCAACATGTTCTTCTCTCTCCCTTTTTAAAAACCCTATGAAACGGTATACCACACTTTGCTTTATTCATTTAACAACCTTTAATGTTGGAGACCTTTCCAACATAAGTCCATAGAGCACCTGCCTGCCTCCAGTCTCACAGTGTACCCGCAAGTTCACGTGACCAGTGGTCACTGGACTCTTCCCACCCTTTGCCATTCCCAGCAGGGCTGCAGGCTTTGGACGCTGGGTGGACCCTGTGTGTACGTCATTTCCCACATGTGCAGGTGCAGCTCTGGGAGAAATTCTCAGAGGTGGTATCTCTGGGTCCAAGGGTAAATGCATTTTTAAACACAGTATTTATATATTTCTGGCAGCCTACTCATATCCTTGGAAAATTTTATTTCTGACACAAACATCTAAGAGGTTATCAACTCCAGGTTCCTTGTCAGTCTATCTCTAAGTGGATACTTACCTTTTCTCTCAAGGTTTAGATGGAAGTCAACCTTCCATTTCTTTAGGTTGAATCAGCAAAGTGTTTTTCGTTAGACTTGCTGTTGGGAAGTTCTTCTTGATGTCTGTTCTTAACCTGGTCGGCCACTGCACTCTTGTTCACATTTTGAAGGTTGAGGTTGTACGGAATGGCTTTTCTGCTCCCTCCCACCAGTGCACACGTGTGCACACACACAGAGTGGGGTCTGCCACCTTTGCCTCCACCTGGATTTTCCAAACGTCGTGATGTTCTCACCCTAGCCAGGGCTCTGAAGCTATTTCAGTCCAGCAGCAGGCAACTGCTTGCTTCCCCTGCCTTCGCCTCTCCTGCGTTCGCTCTGCTGAGCTGCCTTCTTTCCTGGTGGCTGGTGATGGGTCTGGCTGGGGTTCAGTTTTCAGAGGGCGTTTGGACTCCCTCTCTGTGCTGGGACGAAAACCTGCCAGCCACATCTCTTGGAAACGTTGGCCAAGCATGGCTCCAGCTCCTTCTCTGAGCCACTCTTTACCCCTCCTCAGGGGACAGGGACCTTTTCCCTCTCTTCCTGGGCCTGTCCTGCCACTCACAGCTCTGGCGCAAGATAGAATTTGGGCTGGAAACTCAGAATTGTTGGATGGAAGGAAATGCTTTGAGGTCTCTGCTCTCCCCTTCCACCTATGAGACATTGCATTTTAATCCAGACGATGGGCAGCCATGAGCTTTAAAAGGGTCACATGTGAGTGGAGACAGGCAGACCACTTAATAGGCAACTACAGTCCTGTCTCTCTCAAGCTTGTGGTCAACTTAGACCTTCTGGTCTTTTTTCACCAAGGCTGTAGTCAAAAAAGAATCCGGCTAATGCGTCTGCTTTTCTGCTGGACTGCTATTCTTTGAGATGAGAAGAAAAGTCTCTCTTTGTAAGTACTTTGAGAGGCCCCACAGAGGAGGGAGTAGATAGAGACTCAGGGCTTAGAGAGGTCCGGGTGTTCCCACGTTAGCTCTCTGCCCGAGGAAACTGACCATCTCTCTTGTCTCTCCACAGACCATCACCAGCCTCCTGCAAGAGTTTGATGTTCAGGCAAGTAGAGGGCGTGCCTTCCCTTCCCCCTGCCTGCTCTGACTTCTCTCTTTCTCTCTTCCTTCCACTGGTTTGAAGTAGCTCATTGTTCAGACCCTGGGGCAAGGGGAGAGAAGAAAGCTAGTGCCCCACGCTCAGCTCCTTCTCCCCGGACAGGAGGTGGTTTGAGTTCTGGCTGAGGAAGCAGGGGCCAGTCACTCCCTGTGAAAGCAGGATGCTGACAGCCCCCTTGGACCCTGCAGAGCCTAGGCGGTGCTGTGGGGCGTATGCAGGGGGAAATGGCGAGACATCGGTGGGCCTGGGACCCTGCGATGGGAGGGAACGGAAGCAAGGGCTTGCTGTTCGTGGCTCTGCTTGGGAAAAGGAATCCAGCCTTCTCTGTGTTTCGCTGGCTCCATCCCTGCTCAGGGTTGGCGTGAGGGCCAGGGGGGCGCGTGTGGAGCTTAGTTCCAGAACAAACTTTCAGGAGAGGGGGCTGGCCTCTCTTGGTCAAGGGGCAGGTCACAACCTCAGGCACTGTAAACCCTTGACTCGTTATCCCCGAGCTTGTGTGGGCCCCACGCGGTGCGGGGCCCTGGGGGTGCAGCAGGAAGCCTGGCACGGCGGTGGCTTGTGGTCTTCCCAGAGAAGAGGAGCAGACGCAGGCCAGATGCAGGCTGATGTGCTCCGCTGAACCTCTGCCTGCACATCACAGCCGTATCCCCGGCTTCCGGCCCATTCTGAGCTCTGCATCCCCATCTGTCCACACCCTTCCCCTGTAAACAACTCCACTCTTCCTCCTGAATCGTCTATTTCAGTGGTTGGCCCACCGTCCATCCAGAGGCTGGGAATCTTGGCATCTTCTTTGGAAGGAAGGGGGAAAAGTTGGAAGAGGGGTTGGAACGTTGGCTGGTATGGGACCGTGGAGGCCTTGAACACCACACGCAAGGTTTGTGGGTCTTAGTGTCGTTAAGCATCAACCTGGCTGTGGCAGGCTGGACCTGGAGCCCACCCTGACCACAAGGGCCCTGCAGAACCCCTGGGGTGTGTCTGAGGGCTTGGTTTCTCTCTGGCCATTTGTTCTTCTCTGAGGCCCGCGTGTCCTCACTGTGTAACATCGACTTGTTCAGAACAAACTTATTAAGCCACTGCTGTGCACCAGGCCCTGGACTCCCAGACAGGTGTGTGGCAGTTTTACTCTGCAGGGGACACCCCGCTTAACCCTAACAGCCCTATAAAGTAGGGATTGTTGGCTCCATGCTCAAAGCTGAGGGAACTGAGGCTCAAAGAGGTGAAGCGTGCTGGCATGGTGCAGGGCTGGCCTGGTGCCCTGTGGGGTTGACCGTGAAAACCTACTTTTACCTCCTCCTAACACCGTGTACGTGGGCCTAGGGCGGGAGTCCCGATCAGAGGGTTCGCGGCCACCGTGGGCTGTTCACTTAAGGCAGGCACTGGCTTGGCTTGAGAGTGACAGCACGAGCTGGCACCTGACATTCCCAGCCCCAGGGCACATGACACTTCCAGCCTGGGGCCCCCACACTTCCTCGCTGTTGGGGCGCGTCTGGGGCCGTGAGCTGGGATAACTCGGGTTGGGACACAGGGTTTATGATTAAAAGCAGCTAAGCACAGAGACACCCTCTGGCCCCCCAGGAGCATCTCTCTGACTCATCAGCCCTGGCTGGCAGCCTTAGGACATCCCAGCTTCTCAGTGCATCTGTGGCCCATGAGTTCAGACGAGGGCTGGCGTCTCCCCATTTTACGAATGAAGAAACTGAGCCGCCCAGACCGTGAAACTTGCCATAGCAACGACGCCAACATCGTGCCATCCTGAAAAAAGCATTTTTTTTTTTTTTGTCAGCCTGAGGCCCATTTAATTCTAGCTGACCCTTTCAACGGGTGTGCCCCTGAACAAGTTACTTAGTTTTTCTGGGCCTCTGTTATCCTCCATCTTTAAAATTAACATCACGATAAGAATGAGTGCTTTTGAGCATTTCCTCTGTGCCAGCCCCTGTTCTAAGCATGCTGCGTTTAATTTAATTTGTCTAATGAAATGCAGTCATTTAATCTTCACAAGATCCCTGGGTTGCAGGTTCTGGTATCATCCTTTTACAGATGAGTGGTGCCAGGGAGGTGAGGGGCTAGGGTGCCCACCCACCCAAAGGCACTAAGACTCCCTTTCCGCCCCCCTCACTGTTGCCCACCCCCCCCCCCCACCACCCTGTGATAACTCAACCTTAGTGTTGTTTACTCAGTGCTTACTGCTCAGAGAGCAAAGACCACACTCTCCAAGCACGCAAGGCACGAGCAACGGTGGATGGGTGGAAGTAGAGGGCTGGGGACCCCTGAGTCACCAACTTCTCTCTGAATGTGTACCCGGGGGTAGAGGAAATTGCACTCAGATGGGAAGCCTACTGCTGGGCACACCTCCGCCCCTGGAGTCCCTGGGCTGAGTGGGTTGGCAGGGTGCTCTCCCTGAGCCTGCAGCCCTGGTAGAGCTGGACGAGGGTCTCCTGGTGGGCTCAGCGCACCGTTATGTGTAGGAACAGGAGAGGGACCTGGGATGGGGGGTGGCTCCCTGGGATCTGAGATGGAGCCAGGAAGGGGTTATGATTCCCAGGTTCCAGGACAACTGCTAGTCACCCACCCCCACCCATCACCGACTATGACTGGGTCTTATGTCCCCATGACTCAGACCCTCAGCTCCCTCTGCCCACCAGGCCATCAGAGGGTGGGGAGGACCCGAACCCGTCATTTCATTGGCAGCGTCGGCACCAAGAGCACAGATCTTGCTCTTCAAGGAGTGCAGCCTTGTGGTGCCCTCCAGTTCCGCTTTCTTCTTGTACTTGTTTAAGAAGAAGAGAGTCAGAATTTTGAAGTCACTTGCCTGAGGTCACCCTGCAGTGACCGGGGAGGTTGCAGACCCCAGGCCTTCCCCCTCTCGGCCCCGGGAGTTTCCTGTGCTGCCCACACCTAACGTGGTTAGCTTACTGGCACTTCCTACCTGCCGGGCCCCGCACCCAGCGCTTCCGGGCCCATATCTCATTTAATGCCTCAGCAGTCACGTGAGCAGAAGTCCCATTATCCTCATCGTTCAGATGGGGAAACTGAGGCCAGGGTGGTGGGACTGGGACTCCCTCCTAGGTCTGGCTGACCAGAAGGAAGCAGAGTTCTTGCTGTGCTGTTCACCTGCTGAGCTCTCTGTGCTCCAGCCCCGGAGGTCTCACGGGACACTGGGCACATAGGAGGTTCTCTGGGGAAGTGGGAGGTGGATGGATTCTCTCGAGGCCCCCCCAGGTTTATCTTGTCCGACCTCCTCTTAACGACTGGGGAAACTGGAGGGCAGAGAAAGAGGGCAAGTCACTGGTCCAGGCTGCAGGGTGTGGGTCACTAAGAGTTACGACGTCTGATCTTGTTTCAGTCGGTTTCCATCCTCGTGAGAACAGGGAGAGACGGGTCACAGGGCAGTTACGGCTGTGAAAGATGCAGCAGCTGTGGCAGCCGGGCCCTGGATGTTTGATCTGTGGGCTGTAAACCCTGAAATGGCCGCCCTGGGGCCCCATCATTCAGGGCTGGGCAGGGCCACGGAGGAGCCACAGAACCTGCTGTCTCTGTCGGTTGGTCGTGTCTCCCCTGACGAGGCAGCCAGTCAGCTCTGTGGTTGTGTCTTCCTGTGGTTGTGTGGTGATGTCCGTCCTCAGGGTCAAGCCACAGATCCGCCCAGACTCGACATTCGAGAGCCAGGTTTGCCCTTTCCTGGCCGTTTGGCCTGGAGTAAGTGGCTTGCCTCCCTTCAGCCTCAGTTTCCTCACCTGGGAAATGGGCAAAGTCACTCCAGCCTCGTTGAAGGAGCAGTGTAGAGAGGACAATGACACAGGACCCGGATGTGATGTTTCCCAGTCGTGTTGGGTCGAGAACACACCCTGTCTACTGACTCTATTGTGAGTCTTTTTTGTAATTTTTTTTTTTTATGGTGGCAAAATACATATGACGTAAAATTTACCATCTTAACTATTTTTAAGTGGGCACCTCGGGGGCATTGAGCACATTCACATGGTTGTGCAACCATCGCCACCAGTCACCTCCAGAACTCTTCATCTTGCAGAACTGAAACTGCTCCCATGAAACACTAACCCCCATTGTCCCCTCCCCCAGCCCCTGGCAGCCCCCTGTCTGTCTTTAGGCATTGACTGCTCTCTGTACCTCATATAAGAGGAATCGTACAATATTTGTATTTTTGTGACTGGCTTATTTCACTTAGCATAATGTCTTCAAGCTTCATCCATGTTGTAGCACGTGTCAGAATTTCCTTTTCTTTTAAGGCTGAATAGTATTCCATTGTGTGGATAGACCCTGTTCTGTTTACCCATTCCTCTGTCTGGACACTTGAGCTGCTTCCACCTTTTGGCTCTTGTGAGTAATGCTGCTGTGAACACAGGTGCACAAATATCTATTTGGGACCCTGCTTTCAGTTCTTTTGGGTGCATACCCAGAAGGGGCATCGTTGGATCATACGATTATTGTAGATTTAAAAAATCTTGGTGATTGATTCGGAGAAACCTAGAGAGCGTAGTCTGTTTGTTCCCTGTGCAGGTCATTCCTCACTTTGTGCCGCTCTTGCTAGTGGACAAGCACCGTTCTGTGTGTTTGCCCCAGGGCACAGGTAGGTGGGAGAGCAGAGTACAGGACCTCTGCCCCGCTATGGACAAGGATGCTGCACGCTCGGGATGTCAGCAAAGTGGGCACCTGAAGACCACAGAGGGCGGCCTCAGCGAGGGGCGGGGGAGGCAGGATATGGTGCACTGGCCTGGGCTGAGCCCTCTCAGTTCGTCCCCAGAGCTGTCCTGTGAGGTGGGGGCATTTCTCTCATTGTGCATTCCTTTGTTCCTATAACAAATGCCCACTTTGTGCCTGGCGTTGTCATCTCAGGTGCTGGGGACCGTGGGGAGCATGACAGGCGGTGATCCCTGTTTCCAGGAACTAGAATTCTGGATGACTAGCTCAGCCCTGTTGAGCACCAAGTG